GAAGTCCAGATCTTTGGTCCGGCGAAGAGTGGTGGTATGTCTGCACGTTGTACTTTGACTAGAGACGGAGATGAGAGGTGCCATTCGCTGACTTTCAACATTGTAGAACCTGCGACGACTATCATGATAGCACTCATGCAACCCTCACCCACCGGCGCCGAGGATCTGGATGCTTGGTACCGTGAGGAGCATAATCAGCAAACGTCTGAGCAACCAGCTTGGCTGCGCACATGTCGGTATGCACTTGTCTCGCAAGAGTCTGGTTCTTCAGATGAGGGTGGGAAGAAGCAAGAGTTGTCTTTCCTGGCTATTCATGAGTTCGGGGAGGGTGAGCAGCTGGGGGACACGGTCAAGGCTTTTGAGCCAATTAGTGAGTGGACGATGAAGGTTGTGAAAGATGCGGTGGGGATTGACGCGGCGATTTATCGGAGGAAGTGAGTAAATGAAAGGAAAGGTTGTGAGTATGGTAGTGGGTACATCGAAGTTCATCCTTTAAGAAGGCGTCTATCCCTGGACATCTTATCCCATCATTTCTAATATGATATACCGGGTACGTATTCGCCAGGTGTCTATACACTCACATTTCCACCGATCCCATACGCCCATGTCGTCTGCTGGCTGCCAGGTGCTCGGCATATCGTTGAAGACTGGAAGCCGTGTGCGGATGAGCATTTAACGTCGACGGCGCCGAGCTCTGATGCGCATTGCATCCGAGTCCTAGTCTTAGAGTAGACTTGATTTCAGCGTAATTCGACATTCCGCAAGCAATGTTTCGACATCCCTGAGCTGGGCGGCAACGTCTTCCCGGAGTGTTCGCGTCACATTTCCCCATCGTAAAGTCACCAGTTGAGCCTCATGTAGCCGCGGATAGTACCGCTTGATAAACCGGGAGTAGTCATCAGCGTTCCATGGGGCGACACAAAAATAGAGAGCTGGACGGAAAAGACCCATCTTTTCGATCCTGATAGCCGTGATGGATCCGCAGAATTCCGCCCCTAGATTTTGAAGCGCTGTTGGGAGGTCATAATAACATTGAAGGTCAAAGGTACGGTGTTTGTAGATGAAGTCCCTTGCTTCGTTGCGTATCGTTTGGCAAGAGAATAGAAGGCTGAAGGCTCCTGGAAAGTGACGGCTGTGCACTGGGGGCTGAGAACGGCGCGAACGCGTGGGGTATATGCATTTCCTGTCGAAGACGTAGTCGTAAATCATGAGTCGGAGTTCCGTGGGTAGGTCGAGGAAACGGAAGGGCTGCTGGACGGTCCGGACGCTAGAGCGCTGTCAGTGGAAGCATATGGCTCACTGCGGCAAATGACCTACATCTCAGTGCTTCTGCTCCTGTCGGCTACGACTCCTTGTTCAGAGGCTTCGTATCGATGAGCGAGAGTAGCCTCGGCGGTGGCGCTTTCTGTCGTCGGGTCCACCAGATTGGAATCCATGTTGACGTGTTTTTATTGAGCGGGAATGTCAAGAATAATGTACCTAGTACAGTAAACCTTGTGATTACCAGGCTATTAATTCATGGACTAGTTCCGCTAGTGGTGCACTGAGTTGGGTTCAGGGCAGACATTCACTGAGTGGCAGAGGCGATGATCCACAGTTCCATTCGGTCGTGCGAGAGAGCTCACATCCTGCTGAATATGACCTCAAGGTTGCTATTGCCGAAATATAGTCGCAGAGCTCTCACAGCCAAGTCAGGGCTCATACTGAGTAGCCCGAATATAGAAGTCTGTTGAATATGCACCTGCTGTAAGGAAGGCAACAAATGCCTGTAGTTAGTGCTAGATGGCGCGCCTTGTTGGAGTCCTATCGCTAAACGCTTTGCAAGCCTTGGCTCTACTTTGATAGCTTTTATTGCTTGGCAAATGCCGGGTCCTAGTTCGTACACGGCCGCCATGCAGTTGTAGTAGAGTGTGAGGTCAAAGGTGACTAGCTCGTTGAATGTAGGAGTCGCTTCTTCTCTGATGTGTCTACAAGTCATCAAAAGAGAGATAATTTGCTGGTGTTTTGGAATCCCGTTACGCCGCAGGAGATATGTGCCTCCAAGTAGATCAGTGGATTTCGGTTGTACATGTATCGTCTCGTTGATGAACGCATGCTCGTAAATCATGACTCGAATTTCGGCTGGCAGACGAAGAAATGGTGGTGTATAAGGGCTCTGATCACTTTCCATCGTAAGCCTGACATCTATACAGCTTAGCATGACTTACATACACTGTATCGATTTGACGATGGCTATGTGTAGCGAGGCTCAAGCGACCCAGACTTTCAGCTACATCGTCGTTCATGATGTACAGATCACAAAGAGAGAGAATGTTTCTTTGATGTTATCCGATATAAAGTCGCGGTGACAAAGATTATTGTATGTGTGTGCTGAAAGATCAGATGGTCGAGAGAGATGGGCGGCACAGCCGGCGATAAGCTAGCGCAATCTGGTATCTCCGGCGGCGCGTCTCGAGATTTTTGGCGCGTCCAATCTTCGTCATCGCAGTCGCGCGTTGACTGCACAGCCCTCGACTATCGTACGCCCCTCATTGGTCATAATGGGAAACCCAAAGCGCATGAGTGAGATGTTCGCATCATCGGCCGAAAAAGACGCCAACACCACGACGGTGACTGCGAGCCCGCCGTACTCGAGCGAAGGATCTACCCTACCCATCATTGGGGCACCCGAGGACGCACCGACAGCTGGCAAGAAGCGAAAGGCGCAAGATAAGATTAATGGAACAGCCTCGGAGAAGCCATCGCAACCACCATCTCCTCCCACGATCCATCCCTCTCTCTACGAGCCATGGACACGGCTGCCTACCGAGCTACGCAAGCTCCTCGAAACCCAGAAGCGCATGCGAGCCACACAGAACATCGTACCCGTCGTCTTCTCGAAGAACCAGAACATCAAATCCGGTATCAACAGGTTGAAGACATATTTGGGCGCGTACAAAGACCCAGCGTCTACAATCGAGATGCCGGAAGCTCTGAAAGAGGATGATGTGATCATAGCCGTTTCTGCACAGGGTGAGGGCACAACAAAGCTAGTAGGCATCGTTGATATGGTCCGGCGCATTGTGGCACCGAGTGGTGGAGAGGACGATAAGCATGGGAAGGAGGAGGCATGGTGGATGTACACAATGCTCACGAGCGTCGAGGTTGACCGAGAGATCAAAACCAGGCCGACGGACAAGGGTGACGCGGACGTCGAGAAGACACAGAGCACACGAAAGAAGGATGAACTGTCAAATGAAAACAACACGGTCAAGACGAAGAAAATACCTGTGTTAACAGTTTGGATGACCAAGAAGCGGATAGCCGCGTTCAGGAACGTCTTTGGAGAGCAGACATTCGCTGTGAAGCTGCTATCACAAGACTCTGACTGAATGCCACGCGACGAATCAATCGAAATTCTAAGAAGCCACTTGCGCTGCGGGTATGCCACCGTCAGATCCTTGGACGACCTCGATTTGCTCGGTCCAATACAATCGATTTACGTCCCTGTCCTCCTCGCCCTCTTTGAACCGACCGCAGATAGCGTATACCACACCGGGCCCGCCGGCCGCCAACATGAAGGCAGCGTCCTCTGCATCTTTCATCTGAAATCGTCGACGGTTCTTCCCCGGCTCCATCCTATCGTACAAGTTGTCCATCGCAGCATGTAAACGAGGGAGACCCAGGACTACATCACTTCCAGAGTAGGTGTAAACCGTTTTACCCACCCCTTTTCGTGGAACGGGCGTGCTCAGGGGATAACGGAGTCTCATGAGGACGACACTGTGTCGGTTATCTGCCGAATTCGCTGCCATATTTAACGGAGAAAGATACTTGTGCGGACAGAATTGCGCTGCCGACAAAGCAACTTATAAGCAACGACATGCGTATTAGCACACGCCTCATGACTTAGTCACACCAGCTCAGCAAACTCTGAAATGGCATCTAATTGGCATCGGGTTATCAATACGATGTGTCTCACTTTACGCCAGCCAAATCCTGCACCTGATGTCGACCGAGGTGTACACAGTGTCTATCGACCTCAGACCCAAAGCATTCGTCCTGATGACACTGATTCGCCCCATGCCACCCTCTCCATTCCCATCTCCTACCTCCCCTCCCTGGCAGGGTGAGCCACTCGGCGTGTGGGCACACGAGCTTCCATCGGCCAGTTTCCTCCGACTTCATATGCTTCAACTCCGAGACTCCATGCGTGCTGCCGGCGACGTCTCAGCTGCGATAGCTATCATCACGCCGGGAATATATAAGCTGGTAAATGGTGGGCCGGCTAGTAACGGTGAGCCGGTTTTCCATTTCGGTGTCCTGGCTGGGAAGGAGACGAAGAATGGGGTACAGCACGAGAGGCTGTACTGGGTTGAGCTGGCAGAATATCACGCTGGTATGTGAGATATATGGGCCACATGCATGTATCTCGTGAAGATATCTCGTGATCTCCAATATACCCTAAGAATACAATTCATTACTTGGAGCAAGCATTATCTCAATAAAAACACAAAATACCCCAAGCCACCCCAACACACAACAGACATGCCCTTACGCATCACTCCCGCAACCAACACCCCCCTCCCATATCCCCCACCACCGAAGCCTCCGCGCCCGCGCATAAGCCAATACGTCCTGATGCGCACCACTTGCTCCGCCTGGCCTCTCCAAATGGTTCCGCAGCATTCCTGGGTCGGCAACGCAATCCAAGTCTTTGATTGTTGGAATAGAGCAAAAGACGCCTTGAATAGAGCAGAGACCGACGCAGGTTTGTGGGGTTGTTCTACACGTAGGGTAACTGCGACGTGCTCGGCGGATGGTGGGTACGAGGACTGGAGCTCGAATTCGACAGTTGGACTGGTTGAGGCAAACAATGGTACGTGGGACTTGTGGTGGATTAGAGAGGTTGATTTCGGAGGATGACTGATAACACGCATGTTTTATTGGGAACTTTAGGTCGTCATAGCAGGTTTTGATTACATTGCTTTTATTAGGAAGCTGGTGAAGGCTGCTATCACCTATGGTTTTATCGGGAACCACTGACTGAACACTCCCTTCGGGTCATATTTCTTCTTGAGTGTTTTCAGCTTAGGAAGACTGGACCCATAGATAGCAGTGTTCGTCTCGTCGCCAAAGGCGAAGTTGGCATAGCTGCATATCTTGTGAGCACTAGTTCGTTTCGATTGTGCAGCAGAAACTTACGTGGGGTCATTTTTGGGATTATCGCTCCTTGTCCAAAGAGCCCTGACCTTGCTTCCCAATTCTAAGGCCTCGGTATCAAGGCCAGCATCATCATACCACGGTATAACGATAGCCTGCGAGAACGCATCCCTCCTGAGTGCTTCATTCATTGCTGCCGAGCCAACGGGTGCCGACATGGCCTTGGTCAAATTGTAGCGCTCGATGAGGACGGCGGAGTTCGGACCTTTGGCCTGGAAGCCTTTGTAAAGCTCCCAGATTTCGGGCCACTTCTGCGCGTTCATGCCCGTGATGGTGGAGCTGTACGAGGGCTTACGACCACCGCGAGTACAAAAGCCGATGTTGGCATCATTCCAGTGGTCGTACGTAGTAATAGCGCTGGACTCAGAAATGGGGCCAATATTGTAAAAAGGGGCGAAGGCTTCGCGGCCTGTTTCGTTCGTGCCTTTACGAAGCAACCCAGTGACGAGGATAGAGGGCTCGTTGAGTGGTTCCCCACTAGAGGTCAGTACAAGGTACACTCGCTGTTGGGGCGTAAGAGGGAGGTCTTCAACCGCTTGCGCAACCTGCTCGAGCTTGTTGGGTGAAAAGAAAAGGTTGTTGATGTATGCTGTGCGATCCTCTTTAGTGGCGGGCGTTGCCTCGACGGTTGCTGAAACGACGATTCCGAAATTGGGTCCTGCCCCCCGAAGTGCCCAGAACAGTTCCGGATGAGACGTGGCTGATGCGGTAAGTATTTCGCCTGATGCAATGACCACTCGCATGGAGATGATGTTGTCAACTCCGAATCCGACCTCGCCCATGAGATTGCCATAACCGCCACCGAGCATCGCACCTAGAGCGCCAACGCAGTTACAGTTTCCGGTGATGATCAATGCACCTGCTGCATTCGCTGCTGCAATCGTGTCTCCGATGCTTGCACCGCCACCGATAGTGGCGGTCTTCTTGTCTGCAGCGACAACGACTTTGTTGAGATTGGCAAGGTCGATCAGGACACCCCATTTCCCCAACTTGAAAGTCTTTCCCCATCCGATGCCGCCATTCTGTGCAAGGAACGGTATCCCAGTTTTCGTACAGTATTTGACCTTTTCGTTGTATTAGCACCGACGATCCGTTGTACCGGCAATTTGGTTGAGGCTGAACCTACTATACTTGCTACATCCTTTTCGGTTTTCACCCTGACGACCACCGATGGAAGGGGAGCATTGTAGTCACTCCAACGTGCTCGAACCTCGACGTTGACCGAAGATGGCGACGACACCAAAGTCTCCAGATCCTTGGCGACATCAGTCTGTCGTACAGCAAGTGCAGAGACCGCCGCGGCAAAAGAAACCAGTAATGATAAGACCCTCATGTTAACAGTACCAAGCGAATGGGCAACGGCCCAACGTGCTTTTTAATTGACATCAAACTTTCCCGGCTACCTGCATGGTGGCATAGAATGCCCGGACCACAAGTCGTCAGAGCGAGGGATTTGTCGTCCCGGTGGAAACTCTAGTCGACAAACAGGATGCGGCCAGCGTCCCTGCATGCTAAATCCGCGCTGGGTTAGGTATAGCCACCGAAGCGGTTATCTCCCGTACTCGTTCGCAATCGACCCGGTTACCGCGGGCGCAGCCGCATTCGGTTATATGTCCTCCGACGGCCCCGGACCCGTGCGTTACTGCACACCAACACAATGTCTCCACACATGACTTTCGCAAGAGTTCAGCGAGCCATGTTGAGAGCATGACGTGGGCCGTAGTCCTTTAGGCGGTTCCATTTTTGCGCACGTGGGTGGGATTCCAGGTAGCATTGAACCACCATCGAAAGATTCGGAAGGTGACAGCGCTGGAGGAACAGGGTGTCTGTGAAGTGCTGTCGGTGGTATGCAAGATATATTTCGCCGATGAACTTGGCACTCGGCAGTATTTTGCGAGAAGGATGTCAATCCAATCAAAAAATAATGCATATGCTACGCCAATAGCCTGGAGACCACCTTGAGCAACCAGTTCCGAGACATATACCGAGAGGAGTATCGTAGGATTCGCGGCTCAATATGCTGACACCGGCGCTTCTTGTTTGCACCGAGGTAGACGCCCTTTGTGGGAACACATTCATCCCAACGTCTGGTGAATTGTGATTTCCTTCGTGATACCGCGCTTGCCTAGTGTTGAGGCGTCTTCGGGAGGCGTAGAAGGACCTTCAGAGCGCGCCGTCAGCTCTGCATAGCATTAGTGGAGCGCTTTACGGGACGTCATGCATTACGTACCGATCTCGTCAATCTCCTGGTATGGCTTGCGTACCAGCTTGCCGCCAAACGTTGTACTTTTCGTGGTGCCGTTCAGCGCGGATGAGCCAAAACCGTGACCTGATGATCCGTATCCGTAGCTCGAACCAGTTGATGTTGCTTCGCGAGGGTAGAAGTGAAACCAAATGGGCCGGAGCGTGGGCAAACAGGCGCAAACAACACCCAAAGATAGTTCAATGTTGGTCCAAAAGAACACAGGTGCTGTGTAATAAATGACGTCGTCGGGATGCTTCAGGTATTCGCCGGCGATCGAGTAAGTCGCCACAACCCGTGTGATGCTGACAGCACATACTCTGTACGACTCAGCTGTCTTGAACACAATGACGTACGAGACGAAATAAGACTTACGCAGCTCCAAGTGAAAGCATTACGATTACAGCTAGCTTCTTCTTGGCCTCCATTCTGACACTCAAAACCATCGGGATAGGAAGAATAAGGATGACAATGTCTGCGAAGACACCCGTGTACTAGTAACGTGGTCAGCCTGGAATCGAAATCATTATGCTGAGTGAGAGACAGTAGCTTACAAGTAGGGCCAAAAACATCGGCACGGTTTCGACACAGCTATTCCCATAGTACGGTTCAATAAATACCGTTATGGGGTAACAAGTGAATAGATGCGAGAATGTGAAGCTGACGGTCCAGCATACGACATACGCAAGCACGCAGTATACCACGATGCGAAACTTTCGTACGTCAAAGATGTTCTTGTATAACACCAAAATCGACGATTTGACAAGACCTAGTCCGATAATGGAGATCATGTTTAGAGCAAACTTTGTCTAGAGAAGTTAGCGATTGCACTGCTATCAGCAGCTAGACCTACTTACTTGTTCAAAGAATATTAATCCAGGATCGTCCATGATGGGCTGGCCTTTTTCATCCAGTGGTTGATGAGATCCCAAGTAGCCGTGTATCGCAGCTATCAATCGGCGTAAGTTTGCAGAATGCCTTCCAATCGAAACACTTACTAGCTAACTGTAAGGAGCAGCAAGCCATAGACACAGCCTATGAACGCTCGGTCAGAGGATGAAACGTATACTGAACCGCTCAAAGTTCTCTTACTAAAGCAGCAACCGTGAGGAAATCGTCCCAACCCACGCGCTTGGCGATTCTTTTTGCCCATAACCGCAAACAAACGAAAAAGAATGGCAGTACCATGAAAGCCACTGCCAGGGCGACCATCATACTTTTGGAGTAGTTGTGATACATTTTGACTGTCGCTCCAGAGTACTGTTGGTACAAAAGACTTGTAGATAGCCGGACGGTCAACAAATACTTCGCATTGATGCAGACAGGCGAAATATAGGCTGCACCAAGCAACACTGAGCCTCAGGTCCTCTCTCCTCATTTGGCCGACATATCGACAGCGTACCACATCCTAGGGACCCCATGGCTTGCTTGTCACATGTAACCTGCGACCCAACCATAACCATCCTTTGAGCTTGACAGGTCTCCAGTAAACGCCCTGTAGGTATCACAGCACCGAGGGTGCCACGCTTGGTCTGTCCCGAGACTGACCAGGATGAAGTAAGGCTGAGAGATTGCAATCACACATCTCTTGACTCTGAAAATCACCCGAAAGTCCCCAGGACTATGACATCCCAGTGCTATGAGCATTTTCGCACGGGTCGGACCAGCGTAGCTTTTGGCCTGTACGTCGGTGCGTCCCAATACGTCAACCTGGGATATGCGGTGCCCACAGCTTCAGCTGAGATTTGTGCTCCTGGCATGCCACCATGTTGAAGACAGACTCACACACGATGGATGCCCAGCTATCAACTCCAAGGCCGTCGAAGTGTCTAGCTATCCCAGTAGTAGACCAGTAAACCGGCAAACCTGTATTGTTGTTCTCATGGAGCCGAGAGCCGTGGGGGTGTAGCTGGGGTGTTCCAGACAGGGGTTCGCCGCTCGGGTGAACCTTTCAGGACGGCAGAAGCCGCACTGCTAAGCCACGGGACGTGCAATGACCCGCTATTATAAGACAGCCTCGGCCAGAACCCATGCGAACTAAAGCTGCGCCGATTTCTCATCTTTCGGTCGATGCGACGTTCTACGGACGCCAGCAGTAAAGAGGTTGTAGGTCCTGGAGGCTCTTATGGCTTCGTCGTCTCAGAATAGGCATCTCGCTGCATCGCATGCACGAATTTGCTTCTGCGGCTTCGAGCCGTCGATGTGGACGGAGGCTTACTTCCGATAGTCGTGCATGCGAGTCTTATCACGTAGGATTTGTTCCAAAATCACTGACACCGAGGTGTGGCCGCAGTATAAACTCGACTACAAGGATGAGATATTAAATGGTACCGTGTTCGACAACATGCGTGAAGGTCTTAGTGCGGAACGGGACTGATACTGAGTTTGACGTCGGCAAGCTTTTTGAATGACCGGAACGATATCTCTGCCGTGTTTGGTCAACTTCCCGTGCACCTGTCGTGGCCCATTGACGCGTTCTGAGAAGCCAGCTCAGCCAGTCCTAGGATGATCGCACGGCGTCTGCGTGCTCGACATGTTGTACCATCTCTCAAACGGCACTAATTTGGCGTAGGAAGCGATGGTGACACCTGGTTGCTTCTTCGTGATCAATGGTGTATGACGCGTACTGAGGAACGGTGGAAATGTATGCGTCACCCGGTTGGCCCCAGCATCGTTGCTGATAATGTTTTTCATACATAGCTCGCAAAACCGTGGGGTTCCTGAAACTGGCAGCGGTAGGCCATCCATTTGGGTGTGAAGGAGTTCCTGAGGCTTGCAGTGTGTTTTGGGGGTTCTTAGGCAGGCCATTTGGCCGAAACAAGGTGATTTAGCGCGGGCATTACGTCATTGTAATCAATCCACGATAATCAATTGATGCCACCTAACACGACTTCCATTTGCAGACGGTTCTCAGTGCACATGCGAATCGCTCTAAATCGTACACTATTCTCTTGTCCTGACGCTTAAGCCCACGAAAAGTGTTCCATGTGCAGATACACATCCCGTTTCCCATCCTTCATGCCACCGATCTGCGCACGAGCGACAGCGTTCGAGACATCGCTCTGCATACTCAACGGGCCGCATACCAGTACAGACGTACTTTCACTTCCATACTCTGTTGCGTCGGCGATAATGGCTGGAAGGTCCGGTCGTTGCGATACATGCTTCGGGGTGAGCGCAGACTGGATAGTGTTTGATGCGGCGTCCTCTGAGCGACGTACATCTGTCGACAACGCTTTCGTCCCTGAGCGAACACTCTCATTCGAATCTTGGGACTTCTCTTCTAATTTGCTCGGGCTTTCGATGGCACTAGTATGCTCCCCGTCACCGGTGTAGTAGATGTCCACGCTCAATTCGTCACAGCGACATCCGCTCAGCTTGTTCGCTACTAGCTCCGTGACGGCCTGCTCGAACCAATCCCTGGTTGGCGAATCTCTTGTCGCTAATATCACTCTCATAGCAGCTCTCCTGTTGATATCTCCGTCGCCGTCGCGATGCGGGTCTGTTGCGCGTACTGCAGCCTGTTGCTCATCCTGCCGCAGGAACGCTTCAATTAGCGGCAAAAGCCAGCCAGCACCAGATCCACCAGCGATGGCCACAACGCTTTGGCTTGCCGCAACCCTCCTCATGTCTATGCCACTATAAGGGCCATCGAGTAACACCTTCAGGCTTGACTTAGGATGTTGCTGAGCGTGCCTCGCCAAGCGTGCTGTAAAACCTCCCTGCGGTCGAATATAGAAGACGAGTTCGTTCGTGCAAGAGCGAGTCGCTTCCGGAAGAGAGCATGCCGTAAAAGGGTGTGTTGTCATTCCGTGTACACCTAGGCCAAAGACTCTGATGAAGTAATGTTGACCCGCTTTCCAGCCGCCGTTCATCGGAATCGCAATCTTGACAAAGTTGTTCGAGACTTTGCTGACCGCAGCCGTTTTGATACCGTACTGAAAGAACATGCGCATGTGGCTATGAAGCCAACATAGTGTATAGATGACGCCTGTTGCGATGAAATAATCCCAGGACGAGAGCCGAAAGTCGCAGTGGAGAAAGAAAAACAAGACGAACACCAGGGCCGCGATGAAATGAGTTGCTTTGAAGAACTCATAGCTGACGTTCCGAAGGGAGGAGTTGGAAGCGAGTGTCAGCCAGGCCTGTACGCTCATCAGCTTTCCTCTGGGCATAGTCTAAATTCCACACGGGAGGGAGACGAATATGATCACGAACCTGCGCAATGAGAGCGACGACACCAGTCCAATAGCATACGTCCGTATGCCACTCGCTCTCCATAGTGCCTTTCCATACATTGAACACAATGAAGGGGAATGTATGTATCAAAGCAAGCACAAAGCATGCATAGCCGATCCACCGATGGAACAACTGCAGTTTCTCATGCGATACTCCCGTCAACATTGTATTCATATTACTTTTCGTCGACGTCGCCATAATAAAGGGTAGGCAAGCGAGCGACATCCATCCTGTTCGTGTAGCGATCGGTGGTGAGCCTCCGAATGAGATCGGAGGGCTCTTCTGGTTGGGCCAATAGTACGGTCGCGGACCGAGTGTCATACAGACGAAGAAGACTGCGCCTATCGCCCCAAGTATGAGAATGCCGAGTGGTGCGGAGTTCCAGTTCAAAGGCCGGATGCGATAGGAACGGTAGGCGAGGTAGCGAAAGATGGCAAGCAGTTGTCGCACAGCCTTGGTCTTTGGGAGAGGCTTTCGTACGAGCTTCGAGGTGAGAAAAGGGATGGCAAAGAGAACGATGGTCGCCATGAAGAATGCGAGTGTTGGAAGCGCATACCTGTGGTCGGCTTCGTACCAAAATCTCCAGTACCCTTGCTGCCACTTACAAAGCGTGTCGCTTTTGAGACTGCAGGTGTACTTTCGAGAGGAATGCAGCATAACAGGTTGCGTAAGCCATGGCGTACCCTCACTGTGCATAGAATGCATCGACATCATGGTCCAAATGTCGCGTTGTTCGTTCGTGAAGTGGTAGCTTGTTCCAGTCTCAAGGTCGCCAGTCCGACAGCCGGTCAAGGGTAGCGGTGTTTATGACTTTAAGGATACAATGTAAGCCCAATTTCTTTCGTCACCTGCTTTGCTTGTGACCCACGTGTATATGTGTTATATAGAAGTCAGAACGCGGCAGTGGGGCCTATGAGCAGTCAGAATAGTGTACTTCCGGGTGCTCAATCGCAGGAATTTGCTCATATTGCTGTATGCGAGAGTAAACTCATCATCTATGGATGTGTTTCCGGCAGCGGGAATAAGAGATGCAGCTCGTGGCTGACTCCCGAGGCGCACCGACGTTGTTGTTGCCCGGTTAAAGGAAGGGTTGACACACGCTACTGGTATCACTGAGCAAGTTTGCGGTCTTTGTGATTGGCGAAATTGTCCAGCGCATATAAGGTGACGGGATACTGGTAATTATGCCGCTCAGGATACGTGATGAGTTTTCAACTTCGCAAACGGTTCGTTATTTGTTCTAGTCAGATTCGCGACTCCTGTGCGCCTTGAGAGTAGTTACACAAAGCTTCGCGTTAAATGTCTACATACGGGCTGTGAAAAGGAGTGGCACGAGGTACATCAAGGCCACGACACCTCTTCAAGCTCTTGTAACGCTTCCCAACTTTTCCATGAATGCCGCTTCGATAGGGGCTAGTTGAGAGCGCGTCGCAGTCATGCTCGCCATAAGGTAGATGACATTACCCAGTATGCGCGAATGAATCTGTACCTGTGATTCAGAAACATCGTGGAGTAAAGAATCGCGAAGGCCGATCGCTGCAGAAGAAGTGTAGCCTAGGTCACATTAATTAAGAAGCTTGGAGGAGAAAAGATCGACATACCAGAGCCGCCTTCATCAATGAGCGATACGGCCAGCACTGAGCCCAGCGCGTTTACATACTCAACCCTCTCATGATTTGAGACGCTCCCCACGAAGGAGTCGGACCACATACTCCACACACGATTGCCGCTGTCATGGCTTACCATCTTGTCCTCGTTCTCGGCCAAGTTCCGCTCATGGCCCAAGTTCAATTTCTCCATGATATCCAGACTTGTGTTTGCAACGTGGCATCCGACTGCATGAGCGGTATAGCTATGTCCATGCAGGAGAGCTTCCGATTTCTCGTCGCCCAAGAAAGCCTCGAAGATGGATTGGCTGGCGCTAGTAATCGAAAGCGGAAGCAAACCTCCCGTAAGCAACTTCGCATTCACGCTTATGTCCGGGTGGATATCAAGGAATGAGGCCGCAGAGAAGCGGCCCAGACGGTACAAACCGGTGAACACCTCGTCAAACATGACAGGAAGACCAGACCAAGCATTCTCGTCCTTCGGAGATTCGGTAACCCTGGAGCCGTTTGCAAAGTCGTAATGACGGACGACGCGTACTAAGCTTTGCTGGAAGAGCGGGTCCACAAACAGCATACCTCCGGCTCCGAGGACGACAGGCTCTAGTACCAAGGCACCGAACTTCTTGCCTTGCTCCTTGACCAGCTCGTCTAGTGTTTTCTCTATGTAGGCCTCGTACTGCACCGATCTACCCCTGGTAGCGAAATCGAATATGCCGTCTTGACTCTCAAAGTTCTGAGCTGGACCCAATTCTTCTTCCATGCCCTTGGGCGGTTCAACTACCCATTGGCCATTCTTGAGCTTGAAGGTCGGGTAGTCAAACCAGAAGCCGCGGCCGCGATACCAGTCGACTTTCTCGTTGAAGACACAAGGTTCAGAGGCATCCATGGCCCCGATCGTGTCTCCGTGGTAGCTGCCTTTGAGTCCAAGGACACCAACGGACTCTTCTGCGCTATCCCAATCATAGCGCTTGCTGGAAGCACGAAGCGCCATTTTGATACCGACTTCTGTCGCTGTACTTCCGTTGTCTGTGTAAAACACTTTTCTCAAACGGGTCCCGCGTGGCGAGCCCGAAAGTATCTTTTCCGCTAGAGTGAGAGCTGGTTCGTGTGTGGCGCCGGCAAACATGACATGACCATAGCGTCCTGCTGCATATGCTGCTTCCAGTGCCAATCGCGAATTACCGTGTCCAAGACCTTGCGTCCACCATGATGCGGAGCCGTCAAACGCTGGGTACAAGGTCTGGTTCTCAGGATGGGGCACCTCTTCATTGCCCTTGTGCTTGACCTGGAAGAAGTCGCCATATGCCGAATCGATGACTAGTATGTCGTTCGCGTTCTTCACATGCTTATGTTGTGTGAAAGGATGCCAAATCTTGTCCTCGGTTTCGTAAGGCATGGATCCTAGGCGGCGGAGTCGCTGGTCGTGGCGATGAATCAGGTCCTCGGCAACCTTTTCTACTATCGTACTATCGCTTTCTGTGTCGTAGTAATTCCGCATGATTTCCTTCTCTTCTTCAGTACCTGGAGCAACACCTTGAAGGTTCGGAATCCATTGTAGTTTGTAAGCTGCTATGCCCATATCCATGAAGTATTTCTTCAGGTAATCCGCGTTCTCATATTGGCTCTTGTCGTCGAAACACACAACAGCATCGATATCATATCCTCGCATGATCAGGGATTCTGCAGCTGATATGGTAGAGGCGATACCACCTAACCGATGGTCGCCTACGAGCACCGCAGGAAGTCGTAGTGGTCGAAAGATATCCGCCTGTGGCGTGCCGGAAGGTCCTGGGCTCAGAACTCCTCCAGCTGTCTCAATTATCGAAAAAAGTCTGCCCTGATCCAATGCGCCGGCAGCTTTCTGGACAGTCTTGAACACCGTTTGGCTGATGAGCTCATCGCTGGGCTTTGCTGGTCAATTACTATTGGCAAAAGCACAAGAATAAAGGTAGAACTCACAATTTGTTTGAAACCTCTTGCCGCAACATGCGGGCTCACAGCTTTGTCGAATTTGAAAAGTGTGGAAACACGCTGGCCAGTGTACTTGTGCACATAGCTAGCGTACAGTCAGCCCTTGTGTCCCAAATATCTGTCGGATCACGCAGCACTACACTGACCTATCGTCGGCTTCATCAGCTGGGCCTGTAGATACAGGCTTTACGTATTGTACTTTGTAAGGCCCGTGGCGCAATGGCGATGTCTTGCTCTTGAGGCTTGCCCTACCGAAATGTGCACCCAGGAGCGTCGAGAACACTGTTTTGCCAACTCCCGTGTTGGCACCATAGACCTGAACAGCAATCGCGTTCTTCCACAACCCTCCTGGCACCTTCGCCATTTCTTTTGTACCTCCAGTTAGTGGTGAGTTGAGGAAGGTGCTATGGTAGATGGCTGCACCTGCATGCTGTCCAATGCGGAGAGTGCGCTAGTGGTTCCGCGTCCACACCGACGCTAAACATGCAGGTACAAATGTAATGAGTCAAGCCGCATCTCCGACGGCATCGAGGGGTCAGCTTATGCGGTCTTTTAGCTAATGAGTATGTTTTTACTTTTGACGGCTTTCGACGACGCGGATAGCCGCGGCAGACCCCACGCTTCCTTCCCGCTTTCCGCTGATCCTACCACGCCAGCCATTTGGTCAGCTCCACACCATCACTGAAGGTCACGTTATCGTGGGTCAAAGGCGTTCCTATTATCACCTTCACAGAAAGACATGGGGAGCAAAACGCATTCGGCGCCGTTGCAAAACAAGTTACAAGAACTACTCGATCGCCGACGGACAAACGCAACACTCCGTAATCTGACATTACCACTTCAAAATCAGACCGACTTCTCGTCCAACGATTTTCTGTCGCTGTCCACTTCGCCACAACTCAAATCGGAGTACCTTCAAGAGCTGCAAAGAATTGATTTGCCATTGGGTAGCGGCGGGTCAAGACTCCTAGATGGCAACTCGACGTACGCTGAACAACTGGAGCAAGAGATTGCCAACTTCCACGGAGCCGCATCTGGACTGCTGTTTAACAGTGGTTTTGATGCGAACGCCGGCTTCTTTGCGAGTGTACCGCAGCCGGGAGACGTGATAGTCTATGATGAGCTCGTACATGCAAGCGTTCATGATGGCATGAGGTTATCACGAGCGGGGAAGACGATTGCTTTTGAACACAACTCCATATCTGATCTAAAGAAGACTCTGGTAGCAGTTCTTGGTGAAAATGATGGCGTACGAGACAAGAGCTGTAATGTGTTTGTGGCATTGGAATCCATCTACAGTATGGACGGAGACGTATGTCCGTTGAAAGAGATGGTGGAGGTCGTAGAAGAAGTCTTGGGCCCTGAACGAGGATACATCGTTATGGACGAGGCACATTCCACTGGAGTATTAGGGCCAGAGGGTAGAGGATTGGTTTGTGAACTAGGCCTAGAGAAACATATATTCGCGCGACTACACACCTTTGGCAAAGCCGTAGCGGCGAACGGAGGTACGTCTTATATCATTCTCTCCAAGTCTGTGATGTATGCTAAGCAATTGACAGCAATCCTTCTCGGCTCAGACACCTTGCGTCATTACCTCATCAACTACGCACGTCCGCTCATCTACACGACATTCCTCTCCTACCCCTCGCTGGCCCTCATACGCTCTTCGTACCGACTACTTCAGTCTGGTCAGAGCGTGAAACTACAAGCCCATCTACAGCATCTCACCCAGCATCTCTACACTAGCCTCGGTCATCTCCAAAGACACTCGAAATCGGCTAGTCAAGCACTCACAGTTCCAAGTGCATGCCCGAGATCGCCTATATTCGCAGTACAGCTGGCAAGACCAAAGGTTCTAGCAAGCTTTCTGCAAACTCATGGTATGATGGTCAGAGCCGTGGTACCGCCAACAGTGCCGGTGGGTACTGCGAGAGTGAGGATCTGCCTACATGCTGGTAACACATCAGCGGAGGTGGAAAAGCTTGTTGAATTGCTGGGAAGATGGTGCGAAAGTCAAGCCGCTGAGCAGTTACAAGACCATGTACAGGAAGCAGTTGTGCGAGCCAAAATCTAGCTTCGAATCGAGAGGACAACGCAATCCAGAGTCATAATCGTGAACTCGTGAACGTCTTTACTTGTTCTCTATTCCGTGAGAGTGATTTTATACAAACCGTCTCTGCCCTCAAGCAAGTGCCTGAACCGTAGCCTCCGCCTCAGCAGCCGCAACAACCGCTTCAGCTTCATCCTGTCCAGGAAGCTTGCGCTGCTCTCCAATTGTCTCCTCCATCTTCATAGGCCTCAGTCCCCACCTGCCAAACATAGCCTTATCCTCTTCCCAACCGTTACAAGCAGTCGTCAACATCTTCTCGCCCGTAAAGACGGCATTGGCGCCCGCTTGGAAACACATAATCTGCTTCTCCTCGCGCATTGTGTGGCGGCCAGCCGCGAGACGGATGATGGTGGTCGGCATGACGAGTCGCGCGGTAGCGATGGTTCGTAGGATGGCGTCGAAGGAGATGGCTTGTGTCTCGCCGAGTGGTGTGCCTTTGATCGGTACTAGGGCGTTGACGGGGAAGCTCTCGGGATGGGCTGGCAGTGTTGCGACGGTGTGAATGAGACCGACGTGGTCACGAGCCTTCTCGCCTAAACCAAGGATACCGCCGGTGCACACATGGATGCCCGCTTCTTGAACGTTCTTGATGGTGGCGAGTCGCTCGTCGTAGGTGCGTGTGGTGATAACACTGGGGTAGTGTTCCCGGCTGGTATCAACGTTGTGGTTGTATGCAGTCAATCCAGCGTCTTTGAGCTCTTTTGCTTGCGCGGCATCAACCATACCTGTTGTGTAGGAACATGAAGTCAGTGTATGTCTCACATGCAGTTCGTAAACTCGGTTCTTACCCAAAGTGACACATGCCTCCATACCCATGCCGCGAACCCCCTTAATCATCTCCTTGATGTTCTTGAGATTGGTCTTGCGGCCTCGCATGTCTCTCCAGGCAGCTCCCATGCAGAATCTCGAGCTTCCATTCTCTTTTGCGACCCGCGCAGCTTCCAGGACTGAGTCAACCGATGACAGTTTCGTGGCTTTCAACCCTGTGTCGTAACGCGATGACTGCGCACAGTAGGAGCAATCTTCGCTGCAGCCTCCAGTCTTGATGTTGAACAGTGTGCACATCTGGATGGCGGCGGGGTCATGGAAGCGCCGGTGCACCGAAGCCTACGACGGGATTGATGAGACATTGTCCCTCCAAATGATGACAGAGCTGTGTGACATACCGCTGCATGTGTAAGGTCTATTAGCGAAGTATTGTAGACTTCAGCAATCTCCTCCTTCGTCCAGCTCGTCCTGGGCGCACTCGCATTGAGCGCGTTCTCGAAGACGGAGCCTGTCCGCGTTGATGAGCGTAATTGTTGAGTTCCAGGGTCAACAGGGATATCGAGAACGGTGCTGAAGGAGCGGGTGATCTGCAGGGAGCGAGGCGCGAGCGACAAGCCCCGGCCTGTTCGAAGAAGCACTCTTTGAGCCATTGCGAAAGGTCAATTGAAGCTCGATACGAGTCGTCGAAATCACGTACAGTCAACAGGTGCCTCAAACTAGCTGCCCGCTCACGGCTTACGGGAGACGGCTCTAGGGCTCCAGGAACGCGTCGGCCTGCGTTTGTAGATCAGCGTGGGACTTCCGCCAATCAGAATCGAGGCGATGACCGCGGGGTTCCGTGGCGTCTTTACATTATCTAACTTCCTTAGACCGAGCGGTCCAGCCAAAAACGCCGAGGTAGTTATATACCTCAATGGCTAGTATTGCTGATGTCGACATCGAGTGGAGACTTTTGAGTTTGTTGATGTTGCAAGGTTGCAATTGTCTCCCCGAGGGCCTACCCCAAACCACACCTCCAACTTCAGTCTACTGCATCACCTCCCCAAGACCGTCTGTTTGATATGGTTCAGCGCACTCCCCGCTCTCAGCCACTTCAATTGACCGTTGCTGTAACTATGGTTGAGCGGCGCGATCCACTCTCCTGCATTATTCGCGCGCACCACACGCATGCTAGCCTGCCTTCCCGGCCGTAGCTCGCCGTCTTCAACACCTTGTAGCGTAATGCGATCGCCCAACTGGATGCGATCGTAGTCCTGGGCATTCGCAAAAGTCAGAGGTAGCATGCCCTGCTTCTTGAGATTGGTTTCGTGTATTCTGGCAAAAGAGCGCGCTATGATCGCGACACCACCGAGGAAACGCGGTTCTAGCGCTGCGTGCTCACGCGATGACCCTTCTCCGTAGTTGAAGTCACCGACAATGCACCAGTTTACACCTTGATCGCGCAAGTCTCGGGCGACTTCATGCACAAGTCCGATTTCGCTGGTTAGCGGGTGGATCGTGTGGCCGAGCAACTTGGAGTCGGAACCTAGGAAGGCGTTCGAAGCTGCAAGAAGCATGTTGTTGCTGATGTTCTCAAGATGACCACGAAATTTGTACCACGGGCCTGCGGGACTAATATGATCGGTCGTGCACTTTCCTTGGACTTTGACGAGAATCGGCATGTCTTTCGTCGAGCCGGGAGACCAGGGTTTGAAGGGCTCAAGTAGTTGTAGACGATCAGACTGTGGGTCAATGTCGACTGCCACATCGTCGGCGTCATGAACTGGAGCTTGGTAGAAATCTTCGCCCACAACGAACTGCATGGGCAACTCGACATTTTTTGGTGCTGTAAACTGGAATCCCTGTGCTGACCCTTCGATTTGAAGAGAGTCGATGACAGGATTAAAATCTAACCTTCCAGAGTAGGCAAAAGCCGTCACCATCTCTGGAGAAGTCACAAATGAACAGGTCTCTGGGTTGCCGTCGTGCCGACCAACGAAGTTGCGATTGAAACTGGAAATTACTGTGTTTCTCTCGCGGCCTTTGACATCGACGTCTGTACGCTGCCATTGCCCTACGCAAGGGCCACAAGTTGTGCTCAGCACAACAGCACCTGCCTCGCGCAAAGTTTGCAGGATACCCTCCGACTCTGCAGTCGCGCGTATGTCTTCGCTGCCTGGGGAGACCAGGAACGGTGTCTTCACTTTCAGCAAACCAGCAGCCTTGGCCTGTTCGACAAGCTGCGATGTCTTGTACAGATCTTCGTATGAACTGTTGGTGCAGCTGCCTACCATGGCATGACTAACTTCGACAGGCCAGTCATTCTTTGCTACAGCATCCTTCAGTTCTGAAAGAGGATGCGAAAGATCCGGAGTAAAGGGACCATTGACATGTGGCTCTAAAGAGTCTAGGTCAATTTCGATAACCGTATCATAATGCTTCTCGGAGCCTTCATCTGCGGTCAGCAGGATATCCTTGTAGCCGTTTGCGAGGCGCGCGACATCCGCACGCTTCGTCGCCGAGAGATATCGATTCATGGCCTCGGAGTAGGGAAAGATACAGGAAGTCGATCCAATTTCAGCTGACATGTTGCAGACTGTTGCCATGGCCGTGGCACCCAACGTCTGCGTACCCGAACCAAAGAACTCAATCACCTTGCCCTTTCCGCCTGAAACAGATAATATACCGGCGAGTTTGCATATGATATCTTTTGTCGAGGCCCATCCATGCAGGCTACCGGTAAGTCGGACACCTACGATCTGTGGGCACATGAGCTCCCAGGGCATACCAGCCATCGCATCGACTGCATCAGAACCCCCAACTCCAATGCCAAGCATTCCCATACCGCCGGCGTTAGGCGTATGCGAGTCCGTCCCGATGATCAGGCCTCCAGGAAACGCATAATTCTCGAAGATGGTGGTGTGGATGATGCCGGCGCCAGGTTTCCACCAGCCGATTCCGTACTTCTTCGCTGCGCTACTAAGAAAGGCGTAGACTTCGCGATGCTCTTTTCTTCCACGAACAAGGTCCTCTTCAGCGCCGTCGCGCGATACGATGAGGTGATCGCTGTGCACTGTTGTGGGGATCTGGACTTTCGGCAAGCCTGCGCTGATGAACTGCAGCAATGCCATTGTGGCTGTCGCATCATGACATGCGACTCTATCTGGGCGGAGATGTAGCAGCGTCTCTCCACGCCTGATTTCATCTAGAGACCAGTGGTGCTCGTCGGAAGTATACAGGTGACTGTACAGCACCTTCTCCGTCAAGGTCAACGGGCGCGGAGAGCCATGTCTAACAGACTTGAGCTGCAAGACCTGTCGGTCGTAGTCGAGTAGTATGCCTGCATCGAGAGGACTGATCGACACCCGCGGTGCAAGCGAAGCCTGACTCCTCGCATACAACTTGCTGCATCGATGTAGAGGGTACCTTCGCGCTGCAAGTTTAGTAGTAAGCATGACTTAACAATGGCTTGAGCAGCACAGGAGAGACGGGGCATTCCATGTTTGCGATGCTGGGAGAAAGGCAGGTCGGAAACATGTCCCTTATCCGTAGCCGGTCGGCTTTTGAACATAGCGCTAGGATCTCGGGATATTTTTTGAAGCCGAGCAGAACACTGCCGAGGGAACTATGGACAATGAGGTAGTTGGACAACCACAGACAATAGGGCAAGTGACCAAATGCAAGGGCATGAAATCTACACTTCCACACGAAGGACTCGTCGTAGTCTTCAGCATGCATAGCATTTGCGACGGAAGCTGATTAGTCTGCCTTTTCTCGAATCTGGCGCATGAGCCGAACTTGGGTATTGGTAGGGACATGAAGTAGAGCGATATGTCCATTGTACGAAGCAAGAGCGTTTCGAATGTGCTCGCATTGTCGCGTCGCGTTGGTATCGCGTTCCAACGCAGTCGCCAGCAGCCCATCCCCTCAACCCTGCAAGTTCTAGAACACGATGACGTAGCATCCCGCTCCTCCACCAAACTTCCTTCTACACCTTCACACCCACCCCAGCAACCCCATCACCAACAATCCCTCCAACCCCACCGCCTTCGCTGATTCAGACGCCCTCCTCTGAATCAACCATGTTCTCCCCCTCCATCTACACAGTCAGCGTCTTCCAACTCGGCCTCACCTCGGCCCTCAGCGCCTACGGCCTCTACCTCTCCTACCAAAACATAACGCGCCTGCAGCAATACGAAAAGCAGAGCGAGAAAGCTGCAGAATGGTCAAATACTGCGGCGCAAAGACTGCACAAGACGCGGTCGACGCAGACCAGTGGGACTGTTACGGTTTGTAATCCCCCTCCCTCTCAAGGCCAACGTGAGAATATGTGTAACTAACTAGATGGGTTGTAGCTACTACTCAGTTTCCTCACCTCCACGGCCCTCCTCATCGTGCCTAGTCTCGCATCTACAAAAGTGCTTGTTGGGGCTGGTGCGGCAAATGCGGCGGCTGCGTACCTCGCGAGGGTACACATGAACAATTTCTGGAACGACAAGAATCAGACGAAAATCCCGTTTGTCGAGAAGTTCAACGAAGCGATAAGGGGTAGTGAGCTCGTGGTGTTATTGCTGGGCACATTGAGCCTGGGATGGGCGGCAGCAGGAGGCGTATGGGCGGGCATGGCGAACGGTGGCTCCGGAATACTGGGCCTGGGTGTTTGGGGGCTGGTTGTGGGTGGCAGGGTCATGTCGATTGCGCCGCAGATGGGGTGGACCAGTACCCAGTCTTAGAGAGAGCAACGCAGGGTTTGTCTATGGTAACTTCATATATACACGGGTATCTTAGACTGTGAATCACGATTTCATGTCTTCCATCTCACTCATCTCGCGCACCAGCCGCACACTATCCGCTTCTCTGACCCAGTCTTCGATCCTTGCACCAACGTCTCCTACTAGCTTCTCATATGTCTCGTTGATGAAGAACAGCGAGGTATGTGCTGTCACCTCGTCCATGTTCTCCATGAAGACGCGTATCCATGTAGGGTCCTTGTTGCCATCCGCATCTTTTGGTGGTAGCATGCAGAATTTCTTGAGCTTTTTAGGTTTGGTGGGCGCGCTTTCTTCCGACTCGGTCTTTGGTCGATGACTATTCTGGCTGTCCATTGTGGAAAGGGTGTAGGAGGAGTCGGCGCGGCCGTCTGGTGTATCCTGACGCATGATTCCGCTACGGGAGAACTGGTAGTTGGCGTATGGATGCTGGGGGTTGTGTTGAGCTGGTTCGTCGTCTCCCAGTTCAATGGCACCAATGTCCTCTTCCAGGTCAGTCGTAGCACGTTTTGGTTCGGCTTTGTCTTCTGCGGGTATCTTCCCATCGCGCAAATCTGCCTCTCGTTGCCTTTGCCGCGCTTCTTCTTCCCTCTGCTCTGCCTCCGCTTGCCGCTGTTCTCTTTCTTTCTGCCTTTGCCTGTCCTCTGCTGACATGTTGTTTGCCTCTTCAGCCTTCTTTAGCTCTTCCTTCTCCTGCTCCTTCTTTGCTTTCTCCCGCTCTTCTTGCCTCTTCTTCTCTTCCTTCTCTCGGTCCTTCTTCTCTTTCGCTTTTTCCTTTTCCCATTTCTCTTCCATCTTGGTCCGTTCATTGATCGTCTTGTTGCGTGTCTTGACAGCTTTCTGATATACTTTAAGAGCCTGGTCGTGCTCCTTCTCTGCAGCTTTGCGTTGGGCCTTGTCGGAGAATTGCATCAGATCAACAAATGGTGGCTCTTGCGGGATAGGCGGGATCTCTGGTAAATTCGGAGGACCGCTGTCTTCGCGCGCTGATTCCTCAGAAGTTTGAGGTGCTACAGGGCTGGTAGCCGAGAGGAGGTCTTGAGGGCTGACAGGCACGACACCGTCCTCTCGATGCTCTTGGACTTTAATGGATAGCGGTGGAGAATCTACCATGGGTTCAGGATGCACGTGTGTCATCTCTGGTTCGGACGATGTGACCGATGAACTTCTCGACCTTTCTTGTTCCTCTGTTTGAGCAGGCATATGTCGCGATGCCTCACTCGAGGCACTCATGTTGCTGTCCTGATGCTGTAGTTGCTGGTTGGAGGAGCGGGATGGGGATGGTGATTTTGGAGAAGGCGACTTGGGAGATTTCGGCTTCTTGGGTCTCCCGGTGCTTGCAGTGTAGTAGTTGACAAATCGTACGCGAGGTACTGTGCGCCCTTGGCCAAACCCAGATCTCCTCTTGCTTTCGTCGTCTTCTTCAAGCGCGCGCACCCTTGCGTATCTATTCTTCAATTCCTTGTAGTCGGCCATTGCGCTACCAAACTCGAAATGAGACTTGACGAGACCTTTAGTGGCTTCTTTCAAGCCGTCTTTGTAGTGTTTGGTAAGCCAGTGTAGGCTGTTTTCCCAGCCCTTCCGATTTGGCAGATTCACATCATTTGGGAATGCCGGGTTGTAGTTGGGATCCGTAGGCTTTGGGTTGAAGATTGTACTCATTCTACTGGGCCTCTTTCCAACGTCGGCGTCTTGCACAATTGCGTCCTGTGGCGTTGGCGGTGAACTGAAGATGCTGCCTAGTCCAGCTTTGATAATTCCAGGATGCATGCCCAGGAACGGAACATCGAAATTCACGATGCCAACGATGCGATGGCGGAAAACTAGCGCGATATCTGCAGCGAGCAAGCCACCCATGGAATGACCGAGCAAGACAACGTCGGTCCATTGATCCTCGTGTGGAGCTAGCCTGACAGCTGTCAGTCCTGAGCATGTTGATGGGTGAGAGAAGCGAACCATCTCGAGAAATTGTCTCTCGCAATCTCAAGCGAATCCCTGGACTTGTATCTGGGATAGATTTTTGTGTGGACGACGTGGGTTTCGGCGAGCGTGATAGTTACAAGATTGTGCACGTGGGCTGGGAAGCTTCTAAAACTTGTTTCGTTGCCCATGAAGCCATGAATGAAGACGAGCATTAGGCGCCGTCGCCCGGTGTCTCCCTGCGAGGGATCTGGAACGAGCGACTGCGTTGAAGAGGAGCGCGGGTCTTGCGACGACATGCCCATGACGGAGTAGGGTGGAGGCGCATCACTTGTTGAAGAGTCTCGGGGAGGAAGAGGTGGTGGGCGTCTTTGGTGCTTTTGGGGGTCCATTGCTTGACTTGTTGGCGACGTCATTGTTGGGTGTTGGTGCACCTGTTACGACACGGGCGACACGCATGGGAAGAGGCACGAATTATATAACCAGTGTCTTGAAAACTGGGAAGTGTTTGCGAGGCTTGGAAGGCGCGCAGTACAGAGGGGCAATGTGGGGTAAAACGCGACAACTCATACGCAGGTCCGATACGAGGGACGGCGTATTCGCTCGCCACTCGCGTATTCACCTATACGCATGCTCAACAAGTAGGTACAACGAATAGACACGCGCTAGAAAACCAAGACTGGGTGGTTCGACACTTTGCACCGTCGGTTTGCTGAAAGTCAACCAGACAAGACGTGCGCAACGCGATGTAGTAGTCCACAAGCGGCAGGCAGTCGTATGTAGTTGGGCGTGTGGAACCCGATGAGACGCACGCTTTCCCAGCGGAGACAAAGACTTAGAAAGCAGCAAGGGACCGAACCGCGGAATCTGGCGCGCCGCCGATCACCCCTTTGGTTATATATTACATATATATTCTATATGTTTGTGTTTCGAAGTCGCGCTCGTGTCAGAGGATATTTGAAGTTCCGTGTTAAGGTGCATGACTCGTGCGTATAGAGCTGATCACTCAGGCCTTGTCGTTTAGGTTTGCTAAGGTCTGTGAAGCTATATGACGAATAGTCATGCACCGCAGAGTGGCACATCTCACAAGTCATGAGGAATGAGGCATGCTGAAGGGCAGGTCTGGATCAGGAGGGTAATGTCATACGGCGTGGATGGCCTCGTTCTTTGTTCGGCGTGGTTCATGCGCTGTTGTTTGTTGACGCGATAGGCCAGGGGCTCCAGACAAACATACTAGACAGTGGCGCGTTCCAGAGAGGAAGCTCGTGATGTTGGTGGTGAACTATGAAGGCCACCCTAGCGAACAATGAACACTACTCGGGCTTGGCAATACGCCAGCCAGCAGACACGGGCCGGCGGTGGTGGAAAGGGCACGACGGCAGATTGCAGCAAGCGAGTCCCCCAAGGCGACGAGCACGAGTCGGCGATGCTTGTGCGACAGTAGCAATGGCAGGTGCGACAACCCAAGGGCGGCAACTAAGAATAACACCTTAGCAGACTTTGCAGCGTGGGCCATGGCCCTGCATGCTCCGTTCCAGAATGCGGTACCTGAAAGGCCGTCGCTGGATGGTGTGGCGCCACTGCAGGTGCAAGCGGGACGGCTAGTTAGCAGCCCCTTTGGACCATGGTACGCCAATTCTCCGAAGTCATACTGCCGAAGAGTGAAGCTCGACGACGCGCGACGGGTGGGCGAGGACGAGATTAAGCAAGAGATTGCCGTCGTCACCAGTCGTCATGGCAGCGAAGATCGCAGCGCTGCTGAGGGCGTGTGGTGATATCGTATGCCGGTGGGGCCTGCTATTCCTGGACATATCATCTCGGTTGCGGGCCAATCAGTCCCACAGGGCCCGTGCCAACGGCCGACGGACCCCAAACGGTTTCTCGTCTCCTCGCTGCATCTGGCTGGGCTGGAGCGTCGGCGTGCGCTGTGAAAGTGTCTGTGTCTGCTCCTTGTGTCCCGATCGCTCTCTCCCACGACGCTTCCGCCGCGACGTCGACAATTCCACGGACCCAGCGCTACCACGGCCAAGGGACCCTCAGGACAGCAGCTGTTGGAGCCGCCGTCGCGCGACACCCACACCACGTCTGGCCCACCCCGTTGCACGATACACGACGCTAGAAATTGCGTCCGCCCATAGTTCCCCATAACCACCCCGTCTGCCCCCTCAACCGCGCGACCGTCGCGAAGCAAATGCTGGCCTATTGATCGCCTTCACGTAGGTCCTCCTCGCAATTCATCCTCCTGACATGTGAGTGCTGATCGTTGCCGCCTCCAGACCATCCCTCAGTCAGTCACCTGGCGTCCATTCTTTTGCCGACATTCACTCGCTCCCACCCAAACCCACTCCATTGACTGGACTCCCTGCATCGGCTGAAGCCCGTACGTCCGCTCATTCGCAACACCGTCCCTACAACACATGTACCGCCAAACCGCGCACCTCGCCACCGATACTCTGGAAGCATCGCCCTAGTCCGTATTGCCTGGACCCGTCTCTAGACCTTTATGGACCCCGTTGCAACACCTCCCAGGATATCCAGAGTCGATTCGCGCTACCGTCACCGAGCGCAAAACGTCCCGCCCCAGAGCGAACCTGTGCCGCAATCTGAAGAGAAAGAGGAGGAATCAAGCCAGGAGGACCTTATCCCTGAACTGAGAGCCAGAGACAGCATGAGCAGAGGCCATCGCTTCTTTCACCGTCGTGCTGCGCTAGGCAACACGAAGGTTGTCACTGTCGCCGTCGAAGTAGTCGGGACTGTCGATACGAGCGGAAGTTTCATCCCTCAGGAGACTATGGCGCCCGTCACACCTCAGTCCCCAGATGCACCTGCACTACCGACTGCTGCAGCAGTCGCAGCGCCTTCACCCGCACCAGCGCCCTCGGTAGCTCCCGCGGCGCAGCAACCATTGCCCTCCGCTCCCTCACCCGGTATTCCAGCAGTACCAGCAGTACCTACAGTTGCGGCTCCTGTGCTTCCATCCGTCCCAGCAGTCCCACCTTTCCCAAGTGACCTCGTGGTTCCGACCGTTCCTGCGTACCCATACTCTACAGGCGGCCAAGTCCCGGTCACCTCCGACTTGAGCGCATCTCCAATTCCAACTGGTGGCCCTGTGAGCATTGCGACTCCATCTGCAGCCCCTGTGCCGCTATCAGATGTTAGTTTTATCTTGAACTCGACCGCATCTAGTAAGCCAGACGATACTGCCAACATGATCAAGTCTAACATTTCCAGGCACTGCTTCCTTGTTCTCATCTTCTTCATTCATCTCTCTTGACAGCATCTCGGCGTCAACTGCGACTGACCTGATTGCGACCATCGCAGACGCTCCGACTCGTTCGACATCTTCATCGGCATCGCAATTCACGTCCTCGTCCGACGCACCGTCATCTTCTCAAACTTCAGCAGAATCTGCTTTCACTAGCAGTGCCGTCATCTCCTCGGATGCTGCGTCAACAACAGCATACTATGGTGGTGCCGGTGGGGACGCGTCTGGAACGGCGGCTGCCCCTGCTGCCACCACAGCAGGCATCTCAGATGCTGATGCCGACACCGCTCCTTCTCCACTTGAAACCCCACAGGTCGTCGGAAGTGTAGTGGGCAGTTTGGCAGGCGCTGCGCTCATTCTCGCCATAATACTGCTGCTGCTTAGACGTCACAAGCGGAAGCAGGGCGGTGCTTTACAACTCACTGGCGACGATCACACCGATAACAACCAGTCGATGAGGCAAGCACCCACCACAGCTAGTACTTTGGCTCCTATCGCCTTCTTGAACCGTTTCTCTGGTTTGTCAGGCAAGACTGCGGAAACCAACCTCAGTGGTGGTGAACGCAGCTTTCAACGGGTGTCAGGGCGCAAGCTTCCTTCCGCCTTCAGCGAGGGCATGACATCAGATCAGTTCTCTCGTGGCGGCACAATGTCTGGATCTTCTTTCTACCAAGATGAACACGGCACATATGGCGGTCCCGGCATGTCAAAAGAGTTTGGCAAGGAGATCGGTGACAGCCCAACGAACCGAGAGTCAGGACCCATGAACATTCGACCCAGCCCAGCCAGGACACCAGTCATACGGCATCCTGATGATGGCAACCCCTTCTCGGACCGTAACTATCTCAGTCCGCCACAATCTCCAAATCCTGATGCCCCACCCAGAGGCACTCTTGGAAGAAGTCTGCCTTCGGCGGATGGATCCAGGTCATCTCGGTTTACAGAGAACGTTTGAATGATCTACTAGTCTTTTGTTGCCTTCTTACTCTCGCTCCAGCATCTGTTTTGCCTAACGACACGCATGAACGTGCGTATTGCTCACCTCGCATTGTACCCACCATCTCGCATCTCTTGTCGGTCTTGTCTTGTATACCCCAGGATCCGCTCGACAGGTTCCACTACTCACCACATACTGTCCTTAATCCGGCCGCAATCTGGCGGCCCAGAACTAATGTCTTGTCGGCTTCCTTTACTGTTTGTTGTCATACTATAGTCGTTTTCAGTTCCATTCTTCACGATACTGCCGGATCGGGAACGGTGCCTAGTTTCATACCCCTGGTTGTTGCTCTCAAGGAGAAATCCCTGGGTCTAGACCATTTGTTTATATCGGCTCTGTGGTCCGTGTATATATTCTACGCTGTGCTTCCTTGAAGCCGGCCTCGTGCATATGGTCGCTATGTTTGTCATGTATGTTGGGGCGCGAGGGCAATCGGACTAGAGGTCTCGACTATAGGGTTGGCGGAGTTCATAGTGGTCTCTCCCAATGCTCAAAAGTTTGGTCTTACAAAATCACAGCCTAAGCTGCGTGCACCTCATTGATTCAGTGATGCATTGAGTAAGTATGCATGCTGCTTACCACGTTTCTATTTCCAGCACAATACGCAATACTAGCACACATATGGCTGCAACATTTCCTGTCATAGCCGGCGCAGCCTGCACTACCGTTTCCTTAACACGGTCCATGTCATGTTCATCACCTCCGTGGTCTTTTGATAGGGTACTTGGCATCCTCCTGACATCGTTCTCGGTTGGCCGGCCGCAGCTCAGCCCCACCCGTGCTTGCCTAACCGTAAGCACCGCCCCAAGATCGACGGTAGTACCGCCTAGCGTCACGTAAGGCTTCCCAGATGGACATGATTAAATGCCAATGCCGACACCAGACTCATACCTATTGCTCTTACTATCTGACTCCCAGCACCAGAACGTCACTTTGACCTACCCGTGGACATTACCTACCATCTGCGCACCTATCCCTAACACCTGACGAGGAGCAACAGCAGCAGCAACAACCCCAACATCACCATCACCAGCCTCGCAACCCCCAAACACCAACGCAACCATGGCCCTCGCACCAGCCCCCCAGCCCATCGGCGTATTCCCGCAATTCTTCGCCGCAGGCCCCGAAACGCTCGTGATGAAAGAAAAAGTCATGTCCCTCAGCGGTGACAGCTTCAGCATCAAGCTCGCAAACGGCACGCCTGTGCTCAAAGTCGAAGGCAAAGTCATGAGCCTGACGGGCCGCAAGAAGATGTTCGATATGCAGGGTAACCACCTGTGCAGCATTGTCAAGGAGCATTTTCATATTCATTCGACGTATGTGGTTGAGAGTGCGGGGGGTGAGAAGATTATGGAGGTGAAGAGTAGTTTTAAACGTAAGTTATGGCGCTGTTTGTGGTGATGATGGGAGATGTACAAGAGAGGGATTTCGAAACGATGGGCATGCTTTATATTTGATTCCAAAATGTTGACTAGCTAACTCTTTCGACACAGTATTTGGAAGCAAAGCAACAGCGACATTCACGTCGCAAAACGGCAAGCAAGAAAGCCTCACTATGAAAGGCGACTTCTTCGATACCCAGGCTGATATCCTGGATGAGGCGCAAGGAGGTTCGTATCTCCCACTTCCCTTCCTTACTCACCTCTTACCTTACCAAACCCATCACACCCCCCCAGTCCCCATACTAACCCCTCCCCCGCAGGCCTCGTCGTCGCCCGCATCGACCGCAAGCTCCTCAGCGGCAAAGACATATTCTTCGGGCAGCAAACCTACGGCGTGCAAATCGCACCGGGGGTCGACATGGCGCTCATCGCCGCACTGTGCATCTGCCTCGACGAGAAGAACAACGAGGGGTCATAGAATAACTCGAAGAGGAAACAAGTGCCGTATGTGTTTACTTTGGCAAACAAGGCGACCAAGGGGTGGAGTAGTACGTGGATGAATCAGGCGACTAAGGGGAGGAGTGGGACGTGGTGGGAGAGGGTGGAGGGCGTGGGGATGAGGAGGGGGACTTGGTGATGGGGAGGGGAGGTGTGGTGTGATGCTTGTTGTGTATACCCTTTGCGTGGAATATTGATGTCTCTTTCTAGTCTATTAAACTGTTTCGTGGGGTTAATGTGTCTGATGATGAGAGAGGTTTGTCGAAAGTTGATCTCTTCACGCGTCTCCGTGGGAGATGACAGTACTTGGAACACGTATAACTTGGTTGCAAATGTCATGAGGCATCACCTGACCATACATGGTCCGACCACTGCGGCAAGACCCATAACTCACAGTCACGCCAGGAGATCGAAGAGTGAAGTATATAATCTTGATATTAAAGGAGCGTCTTTAGTTGCTTATCACTCACTCATCTCCATCCCAGCATCTATACACAACAACACCTATAACTTCCCCCAGAAACCCCACAAAAAACAACAAAGGAGAGATCTAATAGGCCGAAGTACAGGCAATCGGGAAAAACATGGCTAAGTGACCACGTCCCGCAAAATATATGCTAGTAATGCAGTCTAACACGAAGCAGACGGAGAAAGCAACAGAATATAGAGAAAAGGATGGGAATAAACTCAGAGGCTACGCATGAAGAGATAACGGAGAACGCCTGCCCGATGTAATGCTATGCTTGACTTGGGAAAATTTATCACACCTTCTTCTGCAACAAAGCTTTTGGCCGGCCTGGTTGTATGCTCACGTCTGCATCCGTTCCTTGTCCCAATCTTTTCGCGGAGGGGGTATATATGTCACTTGGCTTGACAATGGCGGGGCGCGGGAAGGGCCGGCTGCGAGGGTACTGCAGCAAGGTCGATGACGACCAAAGAATTAAAACACTGTCTGAACCGTGTGTTGGCGATCCAGCTACCATGGTCAATTACTTCGATCCAGCGAGCAATTCAGATCCCGGTACATTGTGGCCGAAATCTAAGATCAAAGTCCTGCCATCCTGGCTTGTAGCAACAACGCGTCTGTAGTCACTCTTGGCTGAGAGAATCCAGCTTGTTGTCCAGTTCTTGTAAACAGCATATGTTTGCCCAGTCTCATAATCCGAAACTTGTATACTCTGGTCGTACGAGCCAGACACGATGCGACCGTTGAAGGCGTCGAGGAACAGCGATCGTACAAGACCGTCGTGCTTAACTCTGCTGTGGACCAGCTCGCCGGTTGAAGCATCAAACTTGTACACGACGTGGTCGTTACCACCGGCGAGAACGTATTTTGCATCATCGGAAAATTCAACAGCGGCGAGACCACGGTCTTCGGACGGGAAGTCTTTGATTGAAACACCAGTCTCAAGGTTCCAGAGCTTAGCTACACCGTCGCCACTAGCGGAAACGAGGAAGTTGCCGCGTAGCTGAACGGCGTTGACGGGGCCTCTATGACCCTTGAGTGTGCGGACGCAGTTGCCAGTCTTACGATCCCAGACCTTGATCATGGCGTCCTTGGAGCAAGAGATGATGTACTTGTCATCGAGGCAAACGTCTAGGACACCAGCCTCATGGCCGCGGAGTCGGTACATGGGAACGTACTCATCGCCGGTGATGTCCCATACGATGCAGGTGTAGTCCGAGGATCCTGTTACCATGATCTCGCTATCGTACTGTAAGCAGAGAATGGAAGCGTCGTGGTAATCGGCAGGGACGGTGTATATCTCGTTGCCAACCTTGGTGCCGTTGAGCGAAGCGTGGCTGATGACTCGTTCCGGTCGCTCCTCCATGGGTGGGGGAGTGTTGGCTGTTGGCCGGTGGTTGGGTCCACCGTAGACCCTGATGCATTTGTAAGTTTTCAGGTCCCACACGCGGATAGTCCTGTCTCGGGAGCCGGTGATGGCCTTGTTCTCGTCAAACTGGCAGCAGTAGACGCTATCTGTGTGACCATTCAGGTAAATGGCAGCGGGTGTACCGGTCTTCCATCGCCCGTCGATTGTGCTCCGCGCCCTGAACATCTGCTTCCAGTCCTGGGCTGGTGCTGGGTTGCCGCCTGCCATCTTGCCAGTGCCCAAGCCGCCCATTTGGATAGGCGCAGGGGAGACGTGTACTTCGGGTTCGTGTTTGCGGAGGAAGACGTTCCGCCAGACGTGCGGTGACGAGGCGTGTTCGTTCCAGCTGCGCGAGACGCGCTCGGCCCGTACGAGAGAAGCGGCATCGAGGTTTGACAGGACGGTGGTGGCGAGCTCGGCAGGAAGGCGTTGGAAGGGATCGACTGTGACACTGTTAGCGTGGCCCCAATGACTGGTGTTTGCCAACTCACTCATCTTCTTCTCCGTGACACTGTCGGCGCGGACGATGGGAGAAGCACATGTCATGTCCACACCGCTCTCGTTGTCCTTGATGTCGTCATCACGCATGGAGGTGGTGATGAGGCCATTGAGAAAGCGGTGGGTGTGTTCCTGCTCGCGTCGCAGCTGGTTCTGGCGATCCTGGTTTGCGGCGGCTGCTGCTTGTCGGGCGGCGGCGCCTGGTACGGACTGGCTGGGGTAGGAGACGGCGGGCGTAAAGAGAGCTTTGGTGATGTCTGTCGAGGGCCCCGGAGCTGTGGGGCGGCGTCGCATGCTACTCAGGCGCTTGAAGGGAGCAAAAGCCTTGGAGCTGGTACTTTGTGGTTGCAGTTGAAAAGTGGGAATGCCAGAGTCTTGGTGTTGCAGGGGCATTCGCTGTTGATCCATGGTAGATTTCTGGCTAGCGCTCGAAGAGGGCAACGACTCGAATAAGGAATGAATGGAGCCGCGGCGACGCTGTGCAGGTGTGGCGGACGACACGGACGACATGCGCCGGCGCGTCTTTTGGCGGGTGAAACTACCAGCGACTGCACCAAACGCGCGGGAGAAGGAGCTGGCCTGTGAATGCTGCGACAGGCCGTCGGCGTGCATGGTGGCTTCGTTGACGGCGTCCAACATGTTGGTGTCCTTGACGTCGTGTTGGTAGTGGGTAGGGAATGTCTGCGAGATGGTGCGCTTCATCGTGTGCTGCGGCGGCGCGGCAGAGGTGTAGGTGTCGTCGTCCACGTCGGAAGAGGTCTTCGGTCGGTGCGACAGGATGGACTGCCTGCGATGCATGCTCCCAGGGATGCTGACTACTGAGCCCGACGAGTTGCGGTGAAGGGCAGGTGCGAAACAGAAAGCGAATCGTAACGTCGCAGGATAACGCGGCGGTGACTAAGAGAGCGTGCACAGCAAAGCGGGCTGCGAGGAGTAGGGAGGGTGAGGGTTTGGGCGGAAAGCAAGGATACGCAAAAGAGTCGGACACGAGGTTTATAGCATGAGTATTAGTAGTCGCAGGAGAGGGAAAACAGAGCTTGTTAACAACGCCAGACGACGTGCCACACACTAGGCCAGGAGACTCAGCCGATCTCAAGCCGGTTCGAGTGCCTCCCGAACGTGGTCTGTTCACCAAAGCAACTCCAGACCCACCCCTGCAAATTACTACTTATCTTATCATGCCAGCACTACCCACACCGTCCCTCTGCTGCTGCTGCTCGTCGTCGTAAAGAGTACCGTTCGACCGCCTGCTGCAGCATCCGGCTCCTCCGATCCACTGTCACCACGGCCTCCTGCGTCTGCTTATGCTACACCGCTCCAACGGTACGCCATCCAAGTCGCTTCACGGTACACCATCTTGAATCGCGTGGAGCCCACAACCTAGATCACGCGAAACCGGGCCAAACCATCGCTCAAACATCATGGCATCAACCGCTCCACCCGCCCCCATACCCACCGTCTACCGCCTCGTCTTCTGCTGGCTAGAGCCCGCTTCCATCCTTCTAGGTGCCATCTACGCGTTTTTCTTCCAATCCACCTACCTGGACTTGACCCATGCAGCCAGCTCGCCGGGCCTCCCGGTTCCAATCTCAACATCCATAGTCATGTCACAGTTAGCGAATCTGTACCTTGGACTTGCTTTTTTGGAAGCCTCGATCCTGCGCGCCACGGCCGACGTAAAAGTCTGGAAGACCTTCATAGTCGGTTTGCTGCTCGCCGACCTAGGCCATTTGTTCTCTGTGTTGCCGGTCGGAAGCGAGATCTACTGGGCCTTTTGGCGATGGAACGCCATCGATCTGGGGAACGTCCCGTTCGTCTACTTCTTAGCCGTGACGCGCATTTGCATGCTTCTTGGCGTCGGCTTCCAGAAGGAAGGTGTGAGATCGAAGATGACATGAAGGTGCACTGGCAGTAGAATGCAAAAAGACAAGTCCCATGTATATAATTCTAGTCGTGTCAGTAGAATGTCATGCATCGTAGCGAGCCCGCCAGCCGTCACCACGACCATCGCAATCTCTCATTTCCACATGTGTGCCCGTCACAAACGACCCAATTCCTGCCCAACACGCTCCTCAAACATGGCTCGCCTATTCACGATTTATCCCTAGCTAGGCAGCCCAACCGAGCAAATCGCATACCTCGTTACCCCAGACCCACAGTACAAGACCCTGTACATCATCTTGTGCATACCCTTCACCCGTCATCTCACCGACGGGCCTCACCGCCCCAAATCTCTTCACCAAAACCTTCACCACTCGGAATCATTCCGAACCTAACAATCATCAAACCCGCAAATAGCAGCTTACCCGCAGCACCACAGTGAAACGCCATTACACTTGAAGTCCGCCCTCTCTTACCGCCGCGAATGAATCCCAAATTCTGCCTTAGGTCCTTTGTCCAACAGCGCACCTAGGTGATCCAACAAAGACGCTGACACGTCTCCATGCTTCTCGACAAAAATCATCGCGTGGCATCCCCGGCACCACCCACATGCAGCATGCCGAGAATAGCAACAGCAACCTCGCCTTCGCCACGCCTGCTCAGCCTCTTGCCCTGCATACCCGCCAGTCATCAGCAATCCCAGGCAGGGCAAGGGAAGCGGGTATCC